AAAAAAAAAAAAAAAAAAAAAAAAAAAAAAAAAAAAAAAAAAAAAAAAAACAAACACCAAGAAACAAATCTCTTCCAAGTTTCTGACAGGAATTTCACAGAGACAGAGCGCAAAAGCACAAAAAACCTGACTCAGTACAAAGTCAAAATTTCTATTTTAGACTAAATAAAAAACCCTAGTGATGGTGGCAAGTTACAAGTATATTAAGTATTTGGCAAGCTTCACAGTTAATGTTTTTCTCTCTGTGCAGGACTGACTCCTCCAAAGTTTGAAGGAATAAATCCTGATACCCATTGCATTTTGTAAGCTGAATGGATAGCAAAATGCACAAGTTTGGCATGGCTTTTCCTCAGAATGAGAAGCTTTGCTCCTGAAGTTAACAAATGATATAAATAACCAACAGAAGGGGAAATAATTTTTTTAATCAAAAGGCTTTAAAAGTTCAAAGTGTATTATAGAATGAAGCAGCACTTGTGAAGAAATGAAGCAACACTTAAAAAAAAAAAAAAAAAACACAAAAACAAACAACAGATACAAGATTATTGCACAGTCCAGTTACATGTAATGTACTTCATTGAATATTAAAGTGATTTCATGGCAAATATGTAGTCAGGCATAAAGATAGTGCCACTGCTGGACACATCTTGGGTCCATTTAATTTAGTACTCTATTGCTAACAATACCTAGAACTGGGTACATTACAGGAAACCAGGGGGAAAAAGGTACCTAGAAAGGCAGATAGCCTTCCTTCCTCAGTGACTGCAGCATGATTTTAGTCTAAAATATAATTCATATTCCCTTACAGTACTCTCTTTTTAGCAACAATTCTCATAATCCATATATTCTTATTATTCACAGCCTTCTGTTATTAAGGTTTGGGACTCAAAGTACTGCACAATGTAAATATGATTCTCATGAAAAGCTGTTTCCCATTGGTTCCTGATGCTGTTTGTACAGAACTACACTGTTTCCTGCTAGCAACTGAGACACTTTGTAACTCATGGCCCACTAAATCCCTTGTTACAAATTGAAAGCTTTGTTCAGCTACTACTTTTTCTGACACCTCAAATTACACTATCTAATTTCTAACAAAAGGCAGGATAGATGCAAGAGGAATCTTGGATTTCATAGTGGTGAAGACCATCTTTAAGAAATTATTGCAATTCTTAATAAATGTATCAGCATTCACTTGATCTGTTAGTATTCAGTAACTCCTGCTATGTTATGTGCTTGCACTTCTTTTTAAGAAGGAGTTTATTAACATCCTCCTGAGTTTAAAAAAGCCAACAACTTTTGCATTTGAAGGTTAGCCTGAAAATGAAGTCTTTTCATTGGCAGCATCTATCATTTACATCTGCATAATCAGTATGCTACTTCCTGATATCGTGGTAAATCTGAATAATTTTCAGGACATCCATTCTTCTTCAGTAACATCATTATGAGTGACTCAATATACAGTGGAGTTGTATATGTATGCTGCACAATGTAGGTATCTGTTGAGCAAAATTTCTATTATTCTACATGAAATTCTGTTGCCTTGTGCTTAGATTATCCTTTCGTACGTAACAGATAAATAAAAAATTACCACAATTTTGTAGAAAACAAGAAATTGTCTGCTTTTAAAAGTACCTCTTTCGAATTGAACTAACATTTGTCTCAGTCTTACTCATTAATTTATTTCTTGATGGCTGGAGATAATTCCTAAAATCTTTCAACTCCATCAAAGAGGTAAAATCCCACATTCTATCATCCTCAATGCATCCTCAAATGCACACAGCAATTGCTCTTGAAATTGAAACTCTTGATCTAACTCTGATGTAGAATAGCTTCCTTTATTTGGGTTAAAAAGAGGCTGTTGAGAGCATATTGTTAAGCAAACTGTTTAAAACCAAACAGAACATCACTACTGCCAATAAAGGTCTAGGATTCAGATTCTGAAAGCAACAGCATGCAGCTATTTTGTTCATTCAACTGTGTTTTATGTGTCGAATCATCTGTTGTACATCATTAAGGGAGAAGTACTTTTTCAAAATCTGATAAAAGCTAATACAAGGATTAGGAAAATTTTCACCTCTTTGGTGTCAGCTGTAGAAGCTGCACAAACTTTGATTTTTTTATTTTTTTTTCCTTAACCTGTATGTATCATTGCCCCAATAAATACAGTTTTTGGTAGTTCTTACATGAATACATACAATAAGCTTTGAAAACAGTTAAGGGCTGATGTTTAGGTTGCTAAGTATTCATTAATAACATGCTCAGCACCCGAAAATATCAAGAGAAGACCTTCAAAAAAGCTTCCAAAAGCAGTAAAAGACTGACATTCTCTGAAAATTAAAGCTCTCTGAGCAGGAATTCAGAAGGTCTGGCCAATCCTTTTCCTCTTAATACTTACTTTAAAATGCATTCCCACGCTTTGGCATTGCAAATTTTTCATTTAAGAAAAAAAGAAATTATCCACTAAGTAGTATATTCATAAAAAAACAATCTCATCTGCTGTCCATGATGTCTTAGTTGCATTTTATGCAGTAGTCTGAGCCTCCTCTGCACTAAATTACACAGCACTGATGAAGATACTGAAGTTGCAGCATTGAAACGAGACATCAGATTCTGAAACATTTAATATTAAATACCTTTCATGCTCAATAATATTATAAGAAGAGAAGATGTAGCATGAGCTGAACTAACTGAAATGTTATTTCATTGGAAGGAATCCAATTAAATACATTTTTCTTCAATTAATAAATCTAGCAGGCATCATTACATGAAAATATCTAAATTTAAACTATACACTCAGCAAATTCTTCAAGAAACAGTAGAGCAGAACATAAAGAAAAAAAAAAAACCTGCAAAAAGCAAAACATTAAATATAGAAGAAAAAAGTTCACACCTTGTCTTCTTACACAAACCACAAGTGTAGCTTTGCTTCTTAAAAAGCAAATCTACATCCCCTACTGCTTTCTAACAAACTCTAATTTAAAAAAAAAAAAAAAAAAAAAGGATCATTAAGTGCAAAAGAGAAAAAGAATGTCTGCTTGACTTGCATAAGTTGGATGAAATGGCTTTAATGAGTTCGAAACACAACCGAGTGCTATGAAAAAGTACTAAGTTTCTCATCCTGATAATCATTAACGTAAAAATCGTTTCTTTTTAGCAATATTCTGTCTTTCAGTGAAAGACTTCCAAAGATCGAACAAATCTACTTCGTGTAAATTCCTTCCCTATTTTCAATTTTCCATGTTTCCTAGGAAACTTCCAATCCTTGCCACCTAGTATGTGGAAGGGCAACCACATGTCTCTGATGCATTAAACCATCCAATTCCACACAAAGTTTCGAACTACTGAAGCAAAATACTGCTCTTTTCTATAGGAAACTTATGGCAATTAATTTAGAGAAGTAATTTGGACAGCTACCAAATACAGATGGAATAGCAACATCTAGGATTAGTAATAGCTTTTTACATGCAGTCAATCACAAAAAGCTTCTCTGTTCTTGCTCAAGTCCACAATAGCCTTCCTGTGCTTTCTAGCACAACCCAGGTTTCCATTATGGTTTTTGCTTCAGTTTGTTCTACCAACAGTCTCTTTACTTTCAAATATCCACAGTGTTTTCTCTCTT